GTGCTTTTGGGGATTTATGAGTGTGGGGTGGGGGGGGGGAGGGGCGGCGGTGGCGGTGGCGGCGGTGGTGTTGCCGCTGCCGCTGCTGCCGCTGCTGCTGCCGCCGCTGCTGCTGCTGTGATACTTCGTACTTGTGTTCTTCCGCGGGTCATCCTTGTTGGCGATGGGGGCGCTTGTTGCTTTGAGCCTTGACGGGATGCACTGGCTGCCGTAACAGCACCTGGTTGATTCTTTTCTTGGCGAATTTGATGCTGGCGCAATGTTCGATTCATGTTGACACCTGCTAGAGGGTCAAAATGAGGCACATTGATGTGTCAACAGGAACGGAGCACGGAGGTCAATCTCTGTTGCCGCGCCGTACATACAAAATACCCGCCGAAGAACTAAGGCACGCAAATAGCACCCATGACAACGCAAACCCACACCGCATGCCCCCTATGCAGGCAAGTTTTGAAAGTGACGGCCCTCTCACCTCGTACCGCGATACCGGTAGATGACATCCCACCGCGTTGCGGAGATACTGCTGCAGCTGCAGCAGGGTGGCAGAAGCGCTCGACCGGTAGAAGTCAATCCTCGTCTTTTCACACCTTCCACGCCTAGACACGAGGAACGATATCGAAACTCAGAAACGAGCGAAAGGTAGTCAGCCACACATTGGCGAAAGAACTCCTCGCGTCACCATCGAGCTCTCGATCCTCTCTCTGCAGCGCAGTGTTCGAGACTTCGAGTCCCTTTCCGATGCGGCGCAAAAGCACGAAATAAAATCTGACCGAACCGACACCTGCTACGGGGGCCCCGTGGATTGTACCAGTGGCAGCGGAAAGGGGTGACACCGGGCCAAGGCGGCCCTCGATCGAACGTGTGTGCATGGATTGCGTGTGCGCATAACCTTGCGCTGTTGTAGTGGTTGGGCCTCTTGCATCAGCGCCACGCACACAGAAATGTTCTCCACGGTAGCGAGGCACGTGGGTGTAGCCGCCCGCGCGGCGGCGCTGCGGCCCCAGCCGACGGCAGCAGCAGCGTGGCGGGCAAGTGCGGCTGCATTGCCTCAGGTAGCGAGGTTCAGCGATGGCGTAGGCGACGGCGGCATCCCGGACACACACGACACCGGCCGGCAGAAGACAGAACGAGAGGGGGTGGGCTTCAACCGCGACCCCATCCACCCGCCCAAGGGCTCGGGCACGAAGGCGATGCCGTTCGAGGTGCCCTCGGAGCACCAGGAGCGAGTCGTCGGCTTCGAGCACCCGGAATCTCACGCCATGTACTGGTTCCCCCTCGCCGCGGGCAAGCTGCACTACGTGGAGGAGATCGACAGGTACTTCAAACTCGTGCCGCTGTGAGGAGCGACTTGGGCCGGGAACAGGAAGGAGCGAACAGGAGGAGCTTACCCTTCAAAGGCGAAGGGAATGGTTGGGTCGTGGATTCCACGCGTGAACAACATGGGGCTGCTGCTTTCTTGCTTTTGGAACGGAAACGATGACACTGCTTACGGGAGGCTCCCATTTAGGAGCGCATGGGGAGCACAGCCGGGGAAGAGGGGGTGTGGGGTTAGGAGCTCTTGCGAAGTAGGGATGCACGCTGCACTGCTGCCACGAGGACAGGAGCGATGGAGTCTGCAAGCGCGTCAACGGTTAGCGACTAGCACTAAGAAATCGTGATGGTATCTAGCCGTGTGTTTTTGATGTAATTTTGCACCTTGACCCCTCATCGTGCGCGTCATCGAAGCTCTGTAGAGGGGAACAGCGTATGCTCAAGACACCGTGCGCAAGGGGGACTTCTGGTCCATTCAGACTGAAATCGTGGTGTGTGATGTGCAGTAGCTTATAGTATGGGCTGCTTGTTTCGTCCACCCGTCGCCACTGCCGAGCTTGGTATTTTGTAGTTTGGGGCCCTCTCAAAAATCTCAATAATGCGGCATGTTTCTTCTGGCAAAGTAGATGTTGGCGCAGCAACCTTGGGCATGTTTTTTGTTTCAGGACAGGTGGCAAGAGTAACAGCTTCGCTGTGATTGCCAAGGCGTTAATCAACCGGGGTGTTTTTATTGACTCCCTGAGTAACTTGAATGGGTTTTGTGCCTGCTGTTGTTGGTGCGTTCGTCCCTGGTTGGTATGCACTTGCAGCAGCTGTGAAACGCGGCTCTTCACAATATCACAACATTAATATTTATGCCATGTGTTGCCACGCGTTAGATTTCACATCGGTTTGGCGATCGCCTTTAGCCAAGCTTCGAAAGCTGGACAATGTTCGAGTTCTCTTCGTTACGCGAGGCTTGTAGCGACCCCCCGCCACTAAATTTAAACCATGTCAAGTGTTTTTGTGCCGTCCTTTCGGACGCGCGGCAGCGATATTGGGTCTCGCCTCACTTTGATCGTTGGCTGTGGCACCTATTGGTACCTGAATAATCCAGGGTGCTCAAGCTGTCCTACGTTTTTCTCTCCCGTGAATCTCACGGAGCATCATCGCCATTCCCTCAGCTTTTTGCACCACTGGGCCACTGCAGGGCACCAGGGTTTCCCCGAAAATCGTGCCCAGCTTGCTATTCCTCGTGTCATGGTCAACGTCTCTATCCACGTTGGATGCGCGCGCATGTTCTCCTTTGTAGATGGGGATATCAAAATTCCTTCTTCGGACATTTTTGAGCGCGAACAGCTGAATACCCTTATAGGATGCTGCCGTGCGTGTTTTCCCTCCGATTCTCGTGTGCGTCCTACACTCAAGCGGTGATACTATGCAGCGTCGGCGATTAGCATCCGAGGAACGGTTGGACCACGGCCCACTGTCCTGCTACCGCTACGACTGTCGCGTCGTGCGTTGGTTATCCTGAGGTAGCTTTGCACGCACCAAATCGTGCAAATATTCCGTTGCCTCTTGTTCCAGCGTCTCGTCGGCAGGATACCGTTTACGCGCCCGAGGATATAGATTTGAGGTCCTCCTCACCTTACTATTCGCCCTCTACGCTTTCTGGGAGAGAACATGACAATACATGATGATGAGAGGCCGACCGAATGTTCCTGGTTTTTTTTTTGCAGCACTTTTAACCACCGTACCGGCACGAAGGCTGACGTAGATGAGAAACCTAAACCTCGCGTAACCCTGGCTTTCTTGTGTAAAGGAGGGGCATTTTTCGTGCTGCACTTTGAAGGGCCGCCAACCCCCCCCTCCCCCCCTGGAAGTTTCAGCATCTCGCGGTCTCATGAACGCCCGAGCTTTCCCTTTACAACGATGCAGCAACGCCGCTGCCTCCGTTTACCGTAGCTAACACCACGAGTCACGCCAAATACCCCGGTCTGACTCAAAACTTGAATCAGGGATTTACTTTCAAGCTGTGGGGGTGGTATTTTTTTGTGCGAGCTACATCTGGTGGCCTCCCAGGTGATAAGCAACCGGGCATTGCATTGTTTGATCTTGAAATATGATACGCAACGACCAAAGTCGACCAAACTTGGTTGCCTTGGAACACACCCGTGAGATGCCACAAGGTAAAACCAAGGATTGGATCAATTTTAACCTCACACAGAGCCTGATGACGAGAGGTTTTGGGTACATATCCCACGTTTGTTTGACGCCCCTCATCCAACTGCAACTTGAAATCAAGCTTCCCGTTCATGTTTCAGCACGCGTTTTACGCATATATCCACAAAAAAAAAAACAGTCAACACGGGTGTGGGGTACGGTACAACAACAACGGTATGCGCCGCATGCGACATGACTTCAGCAGTGATTGCAGCGCCACAAATCGTCGACCATTTCCCGTAGCGCCGCAAATTCAGTCCGACATCACGCGACACGTGCTGTACGGTTTGTAGCCAAACAGGAACAAACGCTACTTATCGCGTCCATCCTCGATTTGGTTTATGCTCCCTCTCTCACTCTCCATCGCCGTGGCTCTCTCCCCAAGAGTAAATAAAGGTCAGGCTGAATCGTGGCACACCTTCGCGTACAATCCATGCGCGGTATTATGTATGTCGTCATCCTGATCCGCGCTTTCCGCCCTCCTCGCTCCCGATACCGCAAGCTTTTGACCTAAACGAACCACCCCATGAAAACCCCACACACACATCACAACGCTTAACAAGACGCGCTTGGGACTCGTTGTTCAACGCCTCGTTCGACACACTGCCACCCATTTGTTCCACCGGAAGGGATATTTCTGGACCGTCATGATCCAAGCGCGTAATTTTGAGCCGAGTTTTTGTCAGGCTGGACTCTCGCCATGAGCCAACTTTGCCCTCCCCGTCTTGGAACTCACATCCAAAAATTCGAATGGAGCTGATGGCGACCACATTTCAGCACGTGCGCATGTCGGCTACATTTGTCTCAAGCTTATTCAACTACACATGTGCTGAAGTCACTCTCTATCAGATGCTATTTGAATTAGTTTGCATCGACCACCATTTTCAAGCCGTGTTGTCCCCTAGCACGAATCCGAGGTTGATTGGAAACAGGTGGGAACGTTCGCCTAAGAAGTCGCCTCGAACATCCAATTCTCAGTTTTGTGTCAGCACATGTGAACCCAGGTTGCAAAAGTGCCACCATGAAGGTACAACGTCATGGCGATTAGTTATCGCTTTTCAAAACAATACCACAAAAGTTTAAAACACCGACAACACGCACACACACATCTAACGGGGTCGGGGATAGCCCCCCCCAGGCTCGTCTGAAGCCCCCCCCCCCTCTCGAGAGACAAAAAACGCAAGGTAAACCTCCGGAGAAAACAACGCAACGAGTCAGAAAAAAGGGCATCACGCCTTTGTTGGCGACAACTCTGAGGCTACCGCTGTCGCCACCCCAGCCACCATCGCCAAAATCCCGAAAAACACCATGAACATTGGGACGAAAAAGTTTTGCATCGCCCACAGCCGCTCTCCCAGCGCCGGGTGATACTCCGGTGTGCCCTTCTTCCAGACCGCAGACGCTCGGCTAAATTCCTCTCGGTTGGACTTGATGAAGAGCAGGGCCGGCATCACGTACCCCACCGCCTTTTTTGTGGTTGTCCAATCGCCAACGTACGTTTGATTATGCCGGGGGGAAGGCAGAGAAAGGGGGAACTAAGTTTGCTGTATGCAAGCATTGAATGAAACGAAATGTCAACCTTGGGGTTTACGCGCGTGTTGCTTGGTGCTCGACCAAAAGCAGCAGCGGTAGCAGCAGCAGGGAGGGGGGAGGCAACGCTATCGTCTCGGGATGCTCGCTCCCTCTCCTCGCCCTCGCCATATTACTGCCGCCGCGGCACTCTCTCTGTTCGTCGCGACTGGTCTAGACTCTTGACAGTTACAAGTTCGCCGCTGAACACACCTATCGATCAAATGCAGTCGAAGACCGTTTGGTGCACGTCAAGCAGAGAAACTATCGACTCTGAAAAAACAACCATTGCAGTCTCTGTCGACTGCGACACCCGAACCGAGGGATAATACTGCCAAAAAAAATATACACGGAGGCGGGGATACAAGAAAAGTGATGAGCAAAAAAAAGGAGATTTGGGGGCATATGATGCCGCAAACTGGAACAAGAAGCAAAAACACTCACGTTCGCGCTGAAAGCCCCAAAAATCTCCAGGATGGATCCCAGGTTCTTGGTCGACGCAGCCAAAACTATCGACAGCACCCATAGTGCGATCGATATCCCAAAGTGTCGCGCCTGGGTTGTCGGACCCTTCCCGAGCCAGGTCTGGAAAACGGCAACGTCAAGCGCGTGTCTCGCGACGTACATCTCCATCGGGTAGGTGAACACCTGGTCGGGAGGAAAAAAAAAAAAAAAGACGTCGGTAATTGTAGGGATAATCGATCTCGTCGCTCTTGGTGTGCTGCACGCAACGACACGATTCACGCTTGAAGGAAGCGTGCGCGCATGTGCGGTATTGCTGCCGGTGCGCCGGTGGACGAGGACTTTGCGATTCACGCCTTGGAGCAAGCACACACAGGAGCCCGCGATGCGGCAAGTGATTCGACATTCGCCAACTGCTGAATCCCAAAAAAAACTCAGCTCCATGTGGCATTTCACGTCTGCTGCTCACCAATTCTCGCAAGGCATCCGCAGGAACGCAGCGGTAGAGACGTGACACGAATCCGTGAAGTAATTTCCCGCCAAAACAACTTACATCCTGGGTGACGACGATCAAAGAAAACCCAAGACTTCTGGAAGCTTTGCTGCACCTGCCTACGCCTTCAACCCAGTTGTAGTTGTCTTCATTCACGCCCGTGGTACAAGAAAAAGCAAAGACGCTCGTCCGTCGCAAAAAAAAAAAGCCATCCATTCGGCATACTTTTGGTGGCGCGCGATGTGTCGCCCTCTTTCTCTCTCTCTCTCTCGCTCACCATGGTCAGCGCCAAGAACGCCCTGGCGATGTTCGCGGGCCCGTGCCGAGTGCCCAAGTTGTTGAGAATGTTCGCGTCGGTCTCGTTGACGAAGTTCAGGTACCCGCTAAGCGCGAGGGTGAGCCCGAGGCCCAGGGCGATGGACACCGACCACCTCGTCACGCAGGCCCACCGGTCCACCCCGCCCTTAGACATGCTCCGGTACACCAGGAAGGACGCGCTCTGGGACACGAACGCGAAGGATATCGCCCCGAAACCGGCGAAGACGGTCGGCCGGATGAACACGAACCTCTCTGAAGAGTCGATGTCGTCATTGGTGCTGAGCGTGGTGGATGTACGAGTTCAGAGCCAACACCAACGAGCGCACCGGCAGCAGTAGCGGTGTCAAGCACCAGAAATTTAGCATCTTGCGGCATCGGACGCAGTGATTTTTGGGGTGGTGGGCAAGAGGAGTCCGCGCAGCAATTATTCGGTAGTGGTGGGAACACGAACTATGCACCCGGCCGCCATTGAGCGTGTGTGTAATGCCTGCGTCGACCCCGCCCCCCAACCACGGGGCCACGAAACGCATGCGTAATTAGGGGTGCAAAGCCAATCATGGGCTTCGGCCGAGACGTTCTTCTGCACATAGAAACATCGAGCATGCATGTCCAGCTCAGTGTATGTGCCTTGTATACCCACAATGCGCCCAAAAACACTCCCCGGGGCCCCCGATTCAACCCCAGGTGCCTATCATGTATAGACGTTGGACTCAGACATTCTCCATTTATAGCTAACGAAAAATACTTTTTTACACACGGCCGTTGTTCCTGTACATTACCAGAAACAACCGTCAGTCTTTTGCAAAGCATCGAACGACTCGATGACTTCATCTGTGCCGAGCAATTTTAACGGCATCGAGCATTCTGCTCCGGCACTGCTGTACAGAGACCACAACTCAGGCGCGAAAGTCGCAATTCGTAGATGTACCTGGCCTCGCCCGCTCCTGCGAAAAACACGATGAGGGTCAAGAAAACGTCCGCCAGGACGCTGATGCCCGACGTGTAGGCAAGCTTGCTCAGGTCCTTTAGCAGCGAAAGGGGCAGCACTACAAAGATCCCGAACATGAAGATGACAGCATGCCGGTCGGCGAACGGCCCGTTCGTGGTACCCGAGGCCTGCAGGCAGATAGATAGCCGTTGGGGGGTCGTTTGGTGCGCTCACGAGCAAGGTATGTATATCCGTTGGGTTTTGTTGGGCATCCCATCAGACTGCAGACAGGGATCAACCAACACTCAATACACGTTAATGACGGCGGAAGCAGAGGCGGGAGGCAGAGGGGGGGCTAAGGCCTCGCTCCAGAGAGGCAAAGACGCTTCTAGTCCATGTAACGAGTCGGGTTTCATCCCCAAAAATGAAAGTCTACATGAGTTTTTTGGACAAGCTATACCCATTTCACTTGTCCCTTTTTTCTTTTTTGAGATACCTCTGCGATCGCCGGGATTGTGTCCGCCACGATTATCAAGTACGCCGACATGGCGCCGTACCCCAGGAGCACGACAAAGAAGCTGTACAGGTAGACCCCCGCGTTTCCGAACGAGTCCGCCATGAGCTCCTCGTAGTTTAGGCGCCCGATCTTCTCCCCGGCGGCAATGAGCATGTTGGTCGACCGGTTGGTCAAAAAGGCCGCCAGGCAGAGCAAGAAGACCCCGGCCCACAGCCCGCTCTGTGGTTTGATGCACCGAGGTAAATTCGACGCGTCGTGATTCGAACACGCGGGGAGCGGTTGGTGGGTCGTGATTTGATCATGAGCGCGTGTGGGGCAAGAGTTAGGGACGTGTAGAGGGGGGCGAGGGGCACCCCGAGGTCCCTCTCTTCCTCCGCTACAGATGCAGGTGCGTGTGGTTAGTGGTGATGGGGATATCAAACGTGGGGGAAGAATATGCGGACACGAACACTCCGCGGGAAGGTGGCTACGGGGGTTCGACCAAGGTGCCCTTGGTAAAGACAATCTCGACGCAGCTATAATAATATGACCAGAGACAGGCACCAGCACAAACTAGCAAAGGTAAACGGCGGCGGAACAGTGACGACGAGGCCGGTGTGTTAACAGCAGTACATAAACTACCCGTTCGAAGCGATGTGTTGAAGTTTTGGCGGTGAGAGTTAAACCTTCTTCTCTTCTTTGAGATGGTACGTCAACGATGAGAGCTGCACCCTTTGCAGCGCTGCGTTTTCCCTCATTTCCTCTGCCGCACAAGCCTTCGATGACATTCCAAACTGACCCATCAACCCATCAAACATCTCGCCGCACGAGAATCCAAATACATTCCTCGCACCCGACGCAAACACACCCCTTAGCAAACAAACCCAGCAGCCATAGGCACTCCGCTAGCTTGGACATGCTACAGCAGTACCGTCAGGTAGACCAAGAACCTGTGGACAACCATCATCTCTCCGACAAAATATATTGTCAAACGGCAAACGGCGAGAAGTTTCCCCGCATGCGGGGGTGGTGACTCGGATGTGGTTGGAAATCGGTATTCTTGCAAGTAAAGGCAGGGGCGCGAAAGTCTAAAACGAGTACCCAGCCCTCTGTGCACGGGAGTTACGGGGGCGTTATCCATCTAATGCTGGGTGGGATCCGCTGGCGTGTGCGCGGCACGAACATGAAACCACTATATGTATGAGGATGGCTAAGGCAGACGCAATCTGTGCCTGCAGCGGTACAATAACACAACTAACTTCTACATGCTGAAGCGGAGGAAATACCGAAGAGAGACAGTCAATACTACGCACCTCAGCGAGCGCGAAGGGCAGGCCAATAATCCCTGCCCCCACTATAGTGTTGACGAAGTTCGATACGGCACCAGCGGCACTGCTGTTTCCGGCCGGGTACCTCTCCGCACGCTCTGCGGCCGCGGCCGCGGCCGCGGCAGTGTTCTCCGACGAGCCTGTCCCTCCGCCCTCAAGGCCTTGACCATTCTCTCCTGCCACCACCGCGGTCATTTCCATCTTGACACCAGTTACTCTACTACTGCTTATCCTCCATGCACTGTAGACGAGCTGCTGGCCTGTGGCGGATAGGTTGCTATGCTATGGCACTGCTGCTGCACTGCTGCTGCTCCGCCGACCGCCGACCCACCCGACGGGGCCCCGTGGAATCGTTTAGGTTCTCGGGTTTATTCGGGCCAACCGAAAGTATTAAGTTATAATCAAAACACACACAGAAAGACTACCCATTCGAGATATACCCACAGTCGAAAGTATTGTAGTACCCTTGGGATTGGACTGGGACGTCGTCCGTTGGGTTGTTCACCAGTTACCCAGGTTACGATAGGTTGTTTTGTCTCTGCAAATAAAGCTATGTAGAGCTGACTTATATCCGGTACATGCTCTTGCTTCGTACTCCTCATGGCAAAGAGAGGACGAGTTTCCACTACACTGCTGTTAGTCTACATGTAATGCAGCTGATCGAGGGTGAAAAATCGAAAAATCTCTGGCGAGGCCGGTGTTTGTGACAGGTGATTGGTTCCGGCCCTCAATGAAAGTATGTTTTGTATCTGTCACAATAGACCAGGGTCCTACAACAGCAGCAGTGCCCGGAAAACATTTTTCGACCAACAACCAACAAGTGCAGACAGATGAACGCAAGGGGTTGCATACATGTACATCCGACAATTGGCAAAGCAGCTTGCCTTGGGCAACCTTAGAGGGGAATTCGAACCGTGACTTCGTACCTCGCGTACAATTGGGTTGGGGGCCTCCGATAGAGGTCTCCTCCCTGAATCAAATCCTCTTGTTCGGGAAAAAGCCCACGCGGACCGAGCGCGGTAACACGGACAAAAGGATGCGCGGAGAACTTCGAAAGAGGGCACGCACACTTACTTATGTTCAAATCGTGGGCTGTGTCGGTACATCCAAAACCTTGTCGAGCGCTCTCCTTTTTGTTTAAAGATGAAATTAAAAATTATGATACGATAATTGCGGCTTCTTCCCCCCAAAAGCACGGAGCTACTAACACTGATGATCTACCTTCCCCACCACCACCGTTAACTTATATATATAAAAACGAAACATAAAAGGGTCCGTTCAGCCAACTTCGTGAGTGGGTTCAAGCACCTCTGTGGCATCATCGGCGACATAAAAAAAAAGTAGCCCTTCGTAAGTGATTGTGAAGGACGCAAACAACTACCGCAAAATTGTCTTCCAGTGTGCCTTTCTTCACCGGATATTGTTGTTGTTGTTGTTGTTGTCTTCACATTAAAAACCGTTCCGATCTCTCTCTACCCAGTACCTTCGTATGTCCGTACTGATCCAACACTCGACGCGGCCGATTCCCGTGGTCACAGGTTAACTTACCCTAAAAAGGTACACTCAAATATACTGGCCCCGAGGGATATTGTAGCGCGTCCAAGAGATCTACAGGGACAAAGCGTCGACCCCCCCCCATCGATAGCCAGTCCCTCTGTCGCACACGCAAGCACTAATTGCCACACATGCTTAAGTTTGCCACAGACTTCTAGCACTCCTCACAGACAAAAAACTTCCCACAGACAAACACTCCCCAAAGACCTCAAACGTTTCCTCTAACGACCGAGACCCGCGATTCTACCTCCGAGGCCACAAACAACCCACACACCCTAACACGAAAATCGGTTACAATCACGCCTTCGTGTGTGACAACTCCCCAACAACCGCCGTCACGACGCCGGCCACCATCGCCACGACCCCGAACAGCACCATGAACACGGGCACGATGAAGTTGCGCGACGCCCACAGCCGCTCGGTGAGCGCCGGCTCGTACTCGGACGAGTCCTTGTCCCAGGCGGCCTTTGCTTGCCTCAGCTCGTGGCCGCAGGACTTCATGTACAGCAGCGGCGGCAGGACGTACCCAATCGCCTGCTCTCGTGTGACGGAATGCAGGGGAGACCGGGAGGGCAAGACCGCTTACGGGAGCCATCGTCGGTGCAATTGGAAACGAACAAGGAGTGCGTGGTGGGCGATCGGGGCTGCTATGTGGTACACTTTTGAGCTTAGATGGGCGAATGGGTGAAGATTTCAGATACTTGCATCTCTGGTTCCCGCTTTTTTCAGGGGGGCAAAGTCTCGCCAGTGCAACAATACGAGTCGTTCGGGCCAAGAGTAGCTTGGCCGGCGACACCTTCAGATCGTCAGCTGTACAACTATCCCGAAACCTTGGAAGTAAAGTGTTTCGACTTTGTTGTTTCATCGCCCGTGACAGCCGTATGTATCACAAACAAGGTTGGGGTCCGAACGAATTAGAAAGCTCCTGGATACGTTTCGTACATCCAGGTCACGTTATGTATACGCCGGAGATATGTAGAACACTTCAAGCCCCGGCCACAAACACACACTCACGCTTGCGCCGAAAGCACCGAAAATCTCCAGGACAGATCCAAGATTGGCGGTGGACAGGGCCAGTGTCAGGGTGAGCACCCAGATGATGACGGTTATCCAGTAGTGCCTAACCGTGGTGATCGGGCCCTTCCCGAGACAGGTCTGGAAAAGTGAAGCGTCTAGCACGTGCCTTGCCACGTACATTTCTAATGGATAGGTCAAGACCTGTCGGTGAAGAAACGGGCGAGCAAGCATCGCACGGCGCCAGTCAAGTAGAGTCAAAGGCATGGCACGGGGGTCACATGGTGTGCAGCACGTTACTCGGAGCGAGCCCGATCGCCAAGCACACACAAACGAGTGACTGCACCGGCCGCGCAACACGGTTCGCTCGCTGCGGCGTCGCTGATAATTGTCAAGCAAATAAAGCATTAGGGGACGAAAAGGCTACATGTAGCTCTATTCTCGCCTTCCCGGGGAGAAAAAGAACCGACACATGATACTACACCTGCATCGACACGATAAAAAAAACAGGCATTTTCCCACCTCGGTTCCTTTCCTGCCCTCTACTCGCCGCCATCACAAAACACGTGGAAGTCTTTCTGTGTGATTGTATGTGTATTTTCTAAAGAAAGGAAAATCTTCGAATGCGTGACAAGCCCAACCAACGCAACACCGGCACGGTGGCGGCCCTCACCATCGTCAGGGCCAGGAAAGCTCTGGCAACCGTCGCGGGCCTGTGCTCGTGCGTGAAGTTGTTCAAGATGTTTCCTTCGGTGCCGTCCGCGAAGCTAAGGTAGCCGGCGACGCCGAGGGTCAGCGACATCACCAGCGCGATGGAGACCGCCCACCGCGTAACCGTGGCCCACCGGTCCACACCTCTCTCGCTCATGCTCCGGTACACCAGAAAAGAAGAGTGTTGGCAAACGAAGGAAAAAGAAATTGCCCCGAATCCCGCGAAGATCGTCGGCCTGATGAAGGTGTTCACGTCGGACCGGTCGACGTCGGGGAGTTCTCTGATGGGAACCGGAGGGGGGTGGGGGACGGAAATTAACCGCATCGAGGTGTGACAAGGAGAAGGGCTGAGTGAACAGAAGGAGGCGTTGTGGTGGAGGAGGGAACATTTTTTGAGACTATCATGTGTACTTCGACTTCAACAAGCCATTCTCCAAGTATGCGTATCCAAAAGATTGTCTTCAATTTCGACACATGCTGCGGTTGTGGTGCGTGCCGCAGCGATTCCAGCCACAGCGCTGCTTGGTTTGTTTTCACCCAAACCAAAGCAAAGACGAACGCCTTCATAAGCAATGGCACCGATTCAAGAATTCCTCATCCATAAGAGCGACCCTCCTCTTGAACGCCCACCCTACCTCAGCGAACACTCAACCCGCACACCCTCGAGCATACCATACCAGACACTCAGAACTACTCCTTTCCCTTTGCCCCTTTCAAATCCTCGGTTCTCAGGCGGAATCAGACCAAAACAATACGCACGGACGGCAAATAATTCTGAATGATATTACACCATGGCACGTTTATGTGTCGTGTGCGCGAATATACGTAAATGTTCCTTAAAAATTAAGTGTTCACCTGGCTGCTCCCGATGCACCCACGAGGACAATGACCGTGAGCAGAACATCAGCCAGGACGCTCAAGCAAGACGTGTAGGCAAGCTTGCTCAGATCCTTGAGCAGCGACAGCGGGAGCATGCAGAACACCCCGACTATCCCGATCACAGAAGCCCGGTCAGCGAGCGCTCCGGTGTCGATGCCCGACGCGTGCGCGATCATCGGGACCGTGTCTCCCACGATGATCAAGTAGGCAGACATTGCCCCGAAGGCCAGCACGCCCGCGAACAAGGTGAACACGTGCGTCCCTGCGCTGCCGAAGTAAACCTCCATGAGCTCCTCATAGTTGAGCCTCCCAACTTTCTCTCCCGCCGTGATGAGCATCGTGGTGGACTTGACGTTCAGCAGCGCGGCGAGGCAGAGCATGAAGATTCCCGCCCACAACCCGCTCTGCCCGAGGTTTTTACGCGTGTATGCGTCGCCCCCATGTCAGCAACGGCCAGGGCAGCGAAGTTCGCGACAAGGCATTTTCGGTGAGGCGGCGGCATTCTTTCGTTGTTGTTTTTTTTCTCTACACTGTCATGGTATTTGGACCCTTGGACAAAGATATAATCCGGGCGGGTACATCTTTTAGACATACACCGACCACGCGGCCAGATTCCCGGTATTCCGATATTAAGCAAGTAGCGGCACAATAGTTGATAGCAGCAACTATTAATAGTGGTGTCTCAATGTGCTCCCTCTTGCACGGTGATGCATGGGAGTGAGCGACAGCGAGCGACTGAGGGAGACAGGAAGGATTAGGATTGAAACCGACAGAAACCGGGCAGCCATCTGCACACATCGGATCCGTTGCACACTGCAATATCGTCACACTTGGTGTCATCTGCAGGACACGAACCTGGGCGTGAAATCACGATGGGTTCCAATCCACACCTGAACTCTACCAAGGGTCAAACATTCCTCTACACCTGCTACTGTACTACCGGGAGGTTGGGAAACCGTGGCCCCTCCGCTTTGCAAAACTACGCGTTTATCCTCAACTACAAAGCAGCACGCACACAGCAGCACGTACGACGCATGAAGAATAGTTGGGTCAGCGTTCAAGACCTAGATACGTTGTGCTGTAAGTCTAGTTGTTTCGAGTTTTACGCTCCGCCTTAAACAGCATGAGTCTTCCACGCCTTGTCGAGACGGGGTTGATATGGGGTGTGTGAGAAGGCCCTATTACAGCAGCAGGGAAGGTTGAGCGGCATCGGACCGGGCGAAACGTCGAGATTGGGACATGTTTGGAAACATGTTTCATTTATGGCCTCACCACACACTTGTGCGACAAGGGACGACAATATCCCGAGAGAGCATCTCCCCCATTGATTGGGTCGTCATCAGCATATTGCTGGGACAACCCAAGCGTGAGGAAAACTAGGTTACAGTAAGTATACTGCTGTTCAACAAGCACTGACTTGGGTTCTTTGCTGTCTAATTTACCGTTTAGATTTGTTCCAAGCAGTCATCTTGTGAGAATTTGGATGGAAGTAAAAAATTATACGTGGGAAGAAACTTCTGATTCATGTGGAACACGGAAGCTTGATGGCATCGGGCGACAAGTTTGAACGAGAGAAGAGCTCGAGCATTGCAATTCGAGGCGGGCCCACGCACAAGCAACACACCTGAGCTGTCGCGAACGGAATCCCCACAATTCCAGCGCCCACGATGGTGTTGACGAAATTAGCAACCGCGCCAGCGGAACTGCTGTTACCAGAAGGGTAACGCTCAAATCTATCTGCGGTTTCGACACCGCTTGTTGCAGAAGCTTCGACTCCATCAGACCTGGCGGTTAACTCAAAGTCCGGCTCCCCGCCAGCATTCTCAGGAGCTTCCATCTGCTGCGGTAGAGGGTAGCGAAGTGTACCCGGGGAACTACTGACTGAGGTGCGTGGAGCGGACGAGCGGACGAGCGGACCAGCCATTGCAGCGGACCAGAGGACCAGAGATTCAGGGGGCTCCGCGAAACAGGTTCGCGAGAAGAACCATGTTGGGGTTCGTTTCCCGAAGCGGGGTTAAAGGTGAAAGGTGAGAGGTGAAAGGTGACAGGCGGTGGAGGTTCGTGGTGCGTGGGTGGCAGCAGTAGGCCACTGGAGGCGAGGTAAGAGGCAGCTGAGAGAGACAGGCCCATCGGGAGCTAGCTGAGCAGTGATCTTATCTGCAGTGGAAGACATGGCCCAGGGAAGCTTCAAGAAGAGCGGCGGAGCACCGAAGGTGAAGGGGAAGGCGGGCAAGGGAAACGTGGCGGCGAAATCGAGGAGATTGGTCAACAAGGGCAAGACGGCAGTGAAGAAGGGCTGTGAGTGGCGCGTGGGTGTGCGGGCGTGCTATCAACAGCAGTAGTAGTAGCGGACTGCTGTGGGGTGCTCAGACGGTTTTGGAAGGAGCCTGCGGCTAAGCTATTCGGGCCTCCTTATTTCCGCATATCAACCACGGGCTGAATGTGAACTGTATTACTTGTACTACTTGCTGTGTACCGCTGCCCCTCCGGTGCTGCAAACACAGCCGTAGTTTACCCGAACAACCAAAACAATTTAACAGCAGTTGGGTATGATATACGACTCTCACCAAAACCCCACCCTATATGCATACTATGTTTCAAAGAGAAATCTGCAGCGGACGAAAACTGGACGAAACCACGGCCAAACAAGCTCGCCGTTGGTTGTGCCTCTCGTGCCAACACTACAGACAACTCCGATATGGTGCTGGCAGCAGGGAGGGACTGGGGGAAATGATGTTAACGTCACCTCTTTCGCATGTTTCTTCGTTCACCAACAGAGTTGTTGGCGGCCTACAACTTGGTGAGCGAGGAAACGTGAGAAGAGGGTGACGCTCACGTCATGTCCCCAGTCCCTGATTCCGTTACCACTCTTGTACAGCGTGGGAAGGTACAGGCGCATCCAGCCGCGAGCTTGTTTAGCCGTGATTTCGTCCGGTTTGTGGTTCGCTGCAGATTTCTTTCTGAAACATAGTGTAGGGTGGCGTATGGTGAGGGTCATATCATACCCAACTCCTGTAAATTGGTGGATTTGAGCTCCAGGTTACATGTAGTATTGGACACACGTCAACCTTGCGACGCACGTGCGCACGTAAAATGCCGTTGTTGAGCGACGCCTGCCTCTGTCGAAAAATGGATCCTTCCGCCTCTCGCCTCCGCATTGCCTTGACCTTCAAAACAAACTCCCAGGAGCTTGATCTGATCCTTCGGGGCGTCATCCCTCTCCGCCTGATACTTCCTTGTCTTAGAAGCCAGCCTCTCCGCTCTTCCCTCTTTCCCAACTTGACGTGCGTTCGTGCTCTTCGTTATTTCTCATTTTTCGGGGTTGCTCCCGATCCACCTCTCTGACGGATGGGCCTACAGCGTGGAATATGCCACCAAAGCAGGCGGCCAAGCTCGCGGCGGCCAAGGAAGAAATGGTGAGCTTATCGCTCTCTTCAGGCGTTTTCATGCTGCTGAAGAGCGAGCAAGCTAACCAGCTCCTGGCTTCAGATTCCGTGGATGCGCTGGGTGCCTGCTTTTTTTGTGCCAGATCATGAAAGAGCAGCCGTACTGTTTGTGGCATGGCGACGGCCAAACGCAGGGAGAGAGACAAAAGAGAGATGTGTCGTTGTACCGTACCGCGCGCTGTGATCAGCTCACATCCAAAATAGTTTCTTAAGTCCGTCTTGTCTATCTAGGCGTGCTCCCTCTTGAGATCATAGCATTCCACACTATAGCACACGTAGAAGACGATATCTTGTGTCGCGATATGAAGCCGCCTTTGTTGGGCGTATTGTGGTGGAAGAAACGAGGCAATGTACATACAGTTGGGCATCTCTTCCGCGTTACATTTTTCCTCGTGCGAGGTACATCGATGCCTGAACGCTGTAAATCGAGTTGCCCAGAGGGGGAAGGCCGGCAGCATTGCCGACACCTGACACCAAGCGGCAGTCTTTTCCCGTTTGTGGTCGATCCCACCAACCAGTAAGCTGCACGAGCCCACCACATCTGTTAGGCCAACAAAGGTGTCCGCTGAACCGCTACCACCTTGGTTGCACATCTATCCAATGACGCACTCTTGGGCGCTGTCTACACAAATTTTGCTTCTCTTTTTTGCGTCAAGAGTGTCATCTAGTTCCCCCCACTGGCATTAGCAAAGCTATAACGAAGCAACGACAAGGCAAGTGAGGCGCTTGCTTACAGCCGTCGTTTGCCCAACCTGCCCGCCAATGACCACCCGCAGGCTAGGACAAAAATGATCAACAGCACAAACGAGAAACAGGCGGCCGCGAAGTGCTTCCAGAACCAAGAGAAGCTTTTCCTCAGAGAAGTAAAGGTGGGCGAAAAACTACTGTGTCTGGGTTTTAACTGGACTAGGGAAGAGGCGTGGCTGAGCAAAAACGCATCAAGTAGACCCGGGCACAACCTACGTCAGAAGGAACTTGCCGGTTGTGCCCATGGGCTGTAACATGTTCGACGTGGCCGGTCCTCCTTTTGTGGTATCTGGATAGCTCTTTCCAGATCGACAATACAGCAGTTGGGATATGTAGGGGTACGGCGGTGGTTTGGTCTTCTCATCTGGTGCGCTTGCTCATGTGTGGTTACTCCGGTGCGTTCGGTCGGCATCTTACGGTGTGCTGGAGGTCTAGGTGGAGCTATTTACAATGGTGGCGTAGATTGATACATCCGTCAAGTTTTTCTTGCACCTCTTCGGCTGCTACTTTTCGCACACGGCCCCACCCACCCTTGAAGAGAAAAGGGTATGTAGGGGGGGAGGTCGAGGGAGAAGGTCGAGCGTCCCTCGAGACGATGCTGAACACGAGGCTTCGACCCTGACAAGCACACGCTGCTTGTTGTGCGGGTGCGTGTTGGGTAGTGTGTTGTGTTGTGTGCGAGGATGGCCTGCGGTGTGTACGTAGTCTTGAGAAACACGTTCGACAATGGTGGCCAATAACAACCCCCCGTTCTGACTCTTTTTTGCGACAGGAAAGCGGCCGAGAATTGGCGCGCGACATCAAGCGAAAAGCGCTCAAGCGAAAGAAGACGCGAATCGAAGAGAAATTGGAGCAGGCTAAAGAGAAGGCGAGCTGTCGATCCGTGCAAAACCGTAGTTAGATATATGATGTCTGTGTTTTTTTCTCATGTCCTCTAGTTGCAGTGTGATGAAAGTGTGGCTTCTGGGCGCGCCCTACAATCGATCTCGAGGGCGCTCTTAAACGATTGACTTGCACTACATTGTGCTAGACTTGTGCTGTTCATGATTTTTTTCGCTGGCGTACTCTCGAAGATTTGGAATGGCCACCATTGCTGCGCTTAGTCGCGTGCATAGTTGTACTATTGGTCATCGACTTGCCCTCCCTCCCCCCCCAACATCTGTGTTTTCACACGCGGCTGTATCTGTTTACTTTTGATGAAACGCGAAAAAAAGGCAATCGGTATTTTTAGCGATGCAGCAATGGCAGCCAAGTACTGTAGTTCTTGAACAACTACGCATGGGCAACTAATGTTGTTGTTGGCGGCAGTGATGGCGATTCTGTTGTTTTTGCTGCTGATACCGCTGCCGTCTCAAGCCGCAATTCAGATTGCCATGTCCGCCCCGAGTTGCTGTCGTTTGTCTACCAGAATCAAGCTGAAAACCCGAGACACCCAAGAAGCCACTGACGTGTGTTTGTGTTTTGCTGTGCCATGTCGCCCTTTCGCTCGCAGCTCGAACGCGTGGAGAAGAAGCACGCATAGGTGTGGTGATGACGACTTTACCACTTACTTTTTATGCGTTGGTTGTTGGTTGGGCGGGGGCGTTGGGGGGCGGGGGAAGGCGTTACTCGCACCAGGGACAGCGGACTCGCAGGCGATCGCGGCTTCTGTCCCATGGATATTCGGTGTAATGCGAAGCGTATTTTTGTTGTTCCGCGCGCCGGCGGCGCAATAACCCGCGTGGACGGACGAAGCCGTAATTTTTTGGGACGTTCGTGCCGAGAACGAAGAAAGGCGTGGTTTGGTGTGGATTGAAGGTGGCGGTATGGGGCAGCGCTCTGCGCTTTGGGTTGCAAGGAAGTTGCTTGAACGAGCGTGTGAGGACGTTTATGTCAAGGAGTCCCCGACTTCGTCGAATGCAGTACTGTATGTGTATATCGTTGGCACCACTGCAGCGTTCTCGGCTGTGCAAGAGCAGTACGTCGATGTACGGTTTGGCGCAACAAACGTAGCACAAGAGCGCGCAGGATGTTGGTGGTGCTAATGTGCGAACATTCGTCTTTGGCCTGTGTATGGTTGCGAGGGGTTTCGAGAGCGTCACAAGAGTGACGCTGTCCGCCGAGCCGCCAGGCCTTCGGTTGCGATCATGGTGCCCTGTTTCTCTCTCTCTCTCGATCAGCAAGCGAGTTGCGCACCTCTGCCAAGAGTTGAGGCTTGTATCGTTGGTCAAGTAGATAGGTTGTTTCTTCCTTTGCTGGGTCAACGTGACAATTGCACCCGGTGTTGTAGCTGTGCCTACGGAGATGCGCGTGGGCGAAGGAGCACGGTACGATTCGCTCGGACTGCCGGAAGGATGGATCTGAGTGACATCAAACGCAAACTGTTGGCACCCTTCGTCCGGCAGCTCCCCTTTCACTCAGAGGCGCAAAAGGTGTTTGCCTTGCTGGACATGGCATGCCGGGCTAGGTGTTTCTAACGCTGGGTTGTATTGCTTTCGACGGCGGGATATCTCGGTACACTTGGTCAAGCGGGGAAGAATGTGTGAGCTCCCCGTTGTCACTGCGCGTGCGTGTTTGATCCATGCCATGTGACATGCCGATAGTTCTCTGGACTCCAAGTAGCGAACGAGCGTGTTTTACCGACCTGTGTGACAAGCTGCATGCGCCCCTCCAGATAAAAATTGCCATCTGATCATACAATGCGAAGCGCTCCCATGGTACATCACCTCCGAAGCATAAGAATTCAACTTCAAGAGTTTTGCCCTTCAAAAATAGACGTGGCTAAGAAATAATGGCGCAGGAGGAATAGACATTGCCCTCGTGTGCCAAATATGCGAAGATCACAAATGGACAACATCAACCACGTCTTCGTCTCTCGATACTTGTACTACATGAACTTCGAACATGCCAAGCGCCAAGCGCCAAAGAAAATACATCTCGGAGATCTATACCCATGGTATCTAGGAGGCGACATCAACCTTCTGAAAAAAAACGCGACACTGATTCGTTTTGTCAGATATACTGCTGTCGTCAGAACTGACTTGTTTTCTGGACTTGTTGGACTCTACCTGCTGTGGGATAGAAATATCACCCGGGTGTGTTGGAAACCACGATCTATCGCGCATGACATGACTGATATCGATGCATGTGAACTCAAGAGACGGGAGCAAAGGTAATACCTTTGGACGGGAGGCCCCCCCGTCCCCCCCCCTCCCTTCAAAGAGCATCGCCATTTGGCTGCGTAGCCCCCCCGCGGCAATGAGGTGTACAGCAGTGCCCTGCACCCTGCGCGAATGATAGGAAGGAGAGAGTCATGGTACCAGGGGGGGGCGAAGAGGGTGCATCAATTTTCGACCAGGATAGCGAGCAATCGAAGCCTTTGCTGGGAGACGACTACGATAGGGATGGCGCAAGCAGTGCCGCCCTGCCCGCCGGTGCCAAGAAGAAGGTAGCGGAATATCTGTCCGCTGCGGAAGAAAGCGTGAGCGTTGTGCACCGGGTGCTTCATGGGCTGTACGGGCACCTCCCCAGGGAGGACGTGCCTCGGATAGTCTGGGTGAGAACGAGATGCCATGTACTGCTACTGAACACCAAGTTTGATTGCTGTGCCGCGACATAGGTATGGGGACATGTTTTGAACGGAATGTTCCAAAAGGATGTGCTCTCGGTTTTCCACGGCAATGCCGCGTGCTGAACTTGCCGTGGTGACCTTTAGCGAGACAGAGCACTAACTGGCAACTGCTGCGGCGCTTGACACGCAACTTAGAAGAGAGGGCTTTGCTTTGCCCCCGTGGCTGGGTTTTTCTCGATCATTGTATGATACATTTATTTCCATCTCTGGTGGTCTAGACGTGTTTGTTTTTTATACTGTTTCAAGTGACGGCACGCCACCCAGCCTCTAAACGTTGATAGAGAGAGACACTCACATTCCTGCTATCCCGGAATCCAAACACTCACACCACCTTGGACCGAGTGATGCCACTGCCGCAGCTCGGCAGCAGTCTAAACCGGGACCAAGCAGCGCCGCAGAGCGGAGCAACAGGGTCTATCTATTCAACCAGGTCTCATGTGCCGTCGATATAGAGGGTCGCAGACGTTTGTTGATCGCCAACACCGCGACCCGCCCTTCGCCTCTCACTGCTGTTTCCACCCTAGCTGCCTGCTACTGTCTGTCGATACCAACCACCACCACATGCAATCCCCTGGCAGCTATCTTTGACGCTCTTCGCCATTATCGGCGGCTTCTGGCTGCTGGACTCGTTGAAAGACACCGTGCTGGAGGGGACCGTGGGGCTCGAGTATCAGCCGAGAGCCAAGCTGGTGTCGGTGGCGGTGACGCTGCTCCTCGTCATCCAGTACAACAGGCTGGTGGATTCCTGCAGCAAGCCCACGGTGAGCGTGGTCACGAATGCTGTGCGTCTGCGCTGGTGTTCGGGGGGGGGTACGCCCCAGCTGCTGCCTCAGCAGGCAGTGGCTGGTGCCATCCATCTCTTTCATCACATGAACCCTATCGTCCTAAATAGGGAGCCGCACCGTCACATGTTCAAGGCGCTTGCTTCTCGCTGTGGCCACCGCACGCGTACCCTGCAACGTACAGCATGGCCCAGCGTTGATGGTAACTCTTCATGTGTTCAGATATCAAGGTTCGAGTACGTGCGACATGAAGCAGTGGCCCGACAACAGCTGCAGCAATAGTTCTCAAAACCACTCCCAGAAAAGCATCCGTCCTATTGACCCCCGCTATCCCCCTCCCCGCCCGATGACGCGCTCTCACTCCCACCGAGCAGCTGTTCTACATCCTAGGGGCCTGCTACACGCTTCTCTTCCTGCTGGTCAGTTTGGTGCTGCGGACCGCCCCACTCGGCCTGGCCAACTGGGGCACGAGACCCGCTCGGGTGGTCGGGTGGGTGTCGTTCGTGGCGATCGAGTCGTACGGGTCTCTGGCCGTTGCGCTGTTCTGGGCCTTCACTAACGCCACCGTCGACCTCGAGGCGGCGAAGGCTTCCTACGGGCTGGTGATCGCCGGGGCTCAGATCGGAGCCATTATAGGTGGGTTGAGATCGATAACAAGCACGGAAGCTGTGGAAATGTTGTTGTTGTTGCTGCTGCTGCTGTTGTTGTTGTGTTCACATTGAAATCCGATGTGGCCCCCGCATCCAACACCTCTTCGGAGGTTCTACTTCACACAAAACAAAATACATCCCCCGTAGCCATAAGTATGCCTAACCAAAAGTATGATAAGTAGTGGTTTCCAGCTTTCTGCCAGGGGGAAGGGGGTATCGTGGCGTAGACACACGGCACAGGGGGTTCTAGGAGGTTATTGTAAACCTCGTAGATGGCATCTTTGGCGGTTTTTCATGAGGCCACAGACCACTACTTCGGCTCCAAAACGCCCAGGATGCAGCTAACGTCGAAGAGTGTGTGGCGCGTGTGGGAATGGCTTGGCTACGAACATGAGGGTGATGCAAATAACTCCCAACTGCGCCTGTACCAACATTCTTTTGGCCGAGAAGCATGTGAAGAGGGCGAACACGTTACTTTTGCAGAACAACAGCAGTGGTGGAGTCAATCCTCCCGTTACCGCTCACTAACAACCACGGTTCCTCGCTCTGTCCTGCTCGCCCTCTGGGCAGGGTCGACGGCCGCGACACTGCCCATGCACAACGAGAGCCTCCACGTGTGGCATCTCTACGCGGCCGGGGGGCTCTGCCCCGCACTAATGGCGTTGCTCGTTCGCGGCTATGTGTTGTTTTTCGGCAACAACCTGCCACGGGAACGCTTGACCAACGTCCAGGGGTGAGAGGCGAGCACAGGGAAAGGGTAGTCGTGTTTTGCATGCCCCACTTGTTAGACCATTGACCACGCGTCCTTCGGAGGGGTGGGGGTGTACTCATAGTCGTGCGTGCCGTAGTCGTTAGACCATTGACCTCGCATCCCTACAAAGCCGGGACGGAGCACGCCGGGTTCTCACTGGACCAGGCCCGGAGGTGGGGTGCGAAATTGAAGTTAACGCCTGGATGGAGGAGGCTGCCGTTTCATTTTCTGGCACTGATCGTCATTTTCTACACACACGTCCGCGACCCACCTTGGCGTTTCGTCGAAAAACAAGCTCAACAGCCCCCCTTTATTCGCCGTCGCTATTTCTGGGTGCTCAGGACCGTTGACAGCGCCCTCAACGGGCTTAAGCTTGTGCTTCGGCACCAGTACGTGGCGCTCCTCTTCGGGATAAGCTGCCTGTACGAGGTGGTACTGACTATCTTGGACTACCAAATGAAGGTACAACTACTTGTATTTTGTATGTTATTCTCTCGATGAAACTAACTTTTGATGAAGGTGCCTAGCCAAAGGGTGGCTCGACCCCGTCAGCGCTGCTTGTAGCCACCGTGGAAAATGGATGCGTATCGTAACGACCAGCAGGAATAGAGAAGCTACGTCAACTCCTAAGCGTTGAGTTGTAGAATTTTCCCCGCCGAGGGACCTCGTCCCCCCTGGCCAAGGCTATCCCTTTTTCACACCAGCACACGTAGGTGTGCATTGCGTCTCTTCGTTTGGGTCTAGGGTAGTTTATGGGCACGGGGGATTTTCACCACCATCGACTGGTCCGACTCGCGCTCATGAAACGCAGGGGAAAGGGAAGCGAGTGCGCGTAGGCTTAGCGTGTTGCTTGGCGTTCCCACCGCTTCAGTTTTTTCTCTTTCGGGGCTCCTGCTGTCATTCAAAACACCGCTTTGCCGCACCACTTTCCGCGCCCCCGCAAGGGCGGCAGCTCGAGCTCACCACCCGACCCAATCACACGTCAACGTCAGTCACGGAATCTTCAGCCGATCAGACACGTTCTACATGATGAGTGAACGAATGGGTACACTCTGCTCGATTCGAAAATTCGGACACATTCAAGATTTTCATTTTCAAATGTCCCAGCAAAGCAAACGAACGAACGAAGTCATCGTGGCCATCTCTCCATCCGTTCCCGAACCAACGCGTCATCCATCCATCACTATTATTACCGTGGAACCGACCCGCGAAACCAGGTTCTGGGCGTGGAAATGTTCCGCGAAACCGCGGGCGACGAGGCAGACGAGCACATGGCGAGCCTCATGGGGCACTTCGGCCAGACGACCAACTCGCTGTCGTTGATTATGTCGCTCTTCGGCACGAGCCTCTGCGTGCGCCTGCTCGGGTTGCGGAAAACTCTGAGAATTTTCCCGACGCTCCTGGTGGTCGCGGTGGTGACGTCGTTCTTCGCCCCGTCGTTGAGCTTCCTCTTCGTGGCCGTCGCCATTCTCAAGGTGTGCACCATCTGATAATGTTGTTGTTGCTGTTGTTATTGTTTTTGTTGCTTTTGTTTTTGCTGAGCTTTGATTTGGCACGGGAGGTGAAAGTGGGATGAGATGGATATGTTGCGTGTGTCGAAGGAGGAGGTCTAAAAATTGTGCGACATGTTTGTGCCTAATGTTCAGAGAAGCAGGTCGTAGATGTGATTAATGGGTGTTCGTCAGGGACCCCGCGGCATGGAATAAGCAGAGAGAAGTACCCAACACTGACAGCTGTACAAGCAGTTGATCGCCGCCTGGCATTCGTGTTCGGTTTTCTCTGGTGCTGCGTTGCGAGTTTTGGCGACTGTCCAGCAAGATGACCGGCAAACACAGGCACTAGTATACTACGGAGCAGTTTGCAGGCTTCAAGCGCGGGCGTGTCTCGTGAGAGTTGAGAGAACCCACGACACCCAGTAGTAGACACAGGGCATGGCAACGGCAATCACCAGTTGAGCACCCCCCCCACCCCCCTCAAACAATGAAAATCAAACGTAATAATAAAATCAGGGGTTAACGTACGCCCTCAACGAGCCGTGCAAGGAGATGTTATACCTACCCACGTCCGACGCCATCAAGTTCAAGGCCAAGGGCTGGATAGACGTGTTCGGGTCACGGTGTGCCAAGGGGGTGGGCTCCTTCGTGACGCTCAGCAGCCGGGGGGATCGGCGCAGGCTGGCCACGTACGGGGGCGTCGCGAGCTTCTTGATCAGGTTTGTTCGTGGTCGCGCTTGGTTGTTTGGTTGGGCTGGAACCTTTTCTGCTGTGTGGCTGTTTTGTTTGCGGCCACAAACGTACTCCCCACGTATCGCAGAGTCTCTGTTCCGTCGTTATCCCATATTGGTGGCGTCGTGCCTGTGGGGGGGTAGTAGTGCTATTGCCGTTTGCGTGCAACACTTGCTTGGACCGATTCAACGCAAATCAACCCTAATTTTTGACGCAGAAAATTCGCCAGCAACAGCGAACTCCAATTCTTGACCCCAGACCTCTTGAGAGCTGCTACTTGGCCTACATCAAGCTTACTGTACTTTCTGCCGCGCTTGTGTACTGGCTGTAGCCCTCAGGCATCTCCCCTACTGGCTATCTATAATCTTGCGTACCTCTTTTTTGTATACGTTATTTTTGAACATCCCACGAGATTTCGTCGCTCTCTTTTTCGTAATCAATGACGTCATGACCCTCGTTGTTGTTGTCGCAAATGCCGTCTCTTGATCGTCGCTGCCCCCGGCAACCAACCAATCAACGACGAGCAGCTTGATACTGCTGGGGGTTTCGTACGTGATGGGGGGGCATTTTGACGCTCTCATAAAGAGCGGGGAGATCGTCGGGGCCGGGGAGGACGGAGACGATAGCGGGTAAGGTTTGAATACTACACGGGGTCGGGTGGGTTTGCATGCTTGACTGCATATGGTAGGTTATTTGGTGCGTTACACATCGGCTGACACGGCCATCTTTTAAATGCCGGTTTGCAATTTGAGACTCTCTGGTTCGTTTTTCACCACGGTGTGGGTCCCTTTTTTTTTTTATGCATGAACCCATACCGCGAAACTCGGCCCGAGGGAATGGGCACTCCACCTTGCTCCTTCCTTCGTTGTTTCAACCGTAAACTGCATAGATTTACGAAATAGACTGCGACTTTTATCCCTACCCCCCGCCCCCCCCGCCCCATGTGTGCCATATTGAGTAACCCCCCCTCCACCCCCACCCCGGAACCCATGTGTCGTACTCAGGAACGCGGGTGCGCCTCCGTCACATCGCGGTGACGGGCTGGGGACAACGGGAGGGGTGGAGTTGCCGCCACCAGCCAGCGGTGATGAGGCATCTCGTCAGTGGAGGGGGCGGGGGGCGGGAGCAGGGGGTTGGTCAGAGCGGCCGTCGCTCGGGTCAGAGCGGCCGTCGCTCTCGACACGTCAAACAGTGGACGTGTAGTTTCGTGTGTGTGCGGAAGGTTTGGCTGTTCGTTGTCCGTGGGTTTGAGCCATTCTTAAGCCTTGATGTTTATCACAATGATCCTTGTAGAGTGCTTTGTTTTCTTCGGGCAGGGTTGTTGGGGGAGGGAGGGGCGTGCTGTTACCTCTTGACAGGGAGCTGAGAGCGTTCCGTAGTTGATGCGTGGGTTCTTGTTTACATGGGCAATGTTTTCCGTTTTTGTTCCAGGATGCTTCCGATGCGGAGGCAGACAGCACCTTCGACTCTTGCCTTCTCGGTTGAGGTGTGTTTCTCGCTCATAGGAAGTCGTTGCGTTGTAGCGAGACGCGGTCTAAAAGGTGGCGTGGGCGTTGTTTCCTGGTGTCATGGCGGTGGTGTCTGCGGGCGTGGGTCCGTCCTCGTGTATTTGTAGCATCCTTTAAGATCCCGGGTGATGGATGGGCGGTGTCCTGTGCTTCGTCTGCGGACTTGTAAGAAACCAGCTGTAAGAAACCGACTTCCGGAGCTACGCTGCGTGGTGGGTACGAGGGCGAGCACGACGTGTTTCTTGCCGCTGCCTGTACCTTCTCACATGCAATTCACGAGTGCCTGTACCTTCTCACATGCAATTCACGAGTATATGAAGCAACTCTTCTGTACGGGGCAGGTGCGTGAGCGTTGGAAGATGGGCCGGTCGTGTCGGTGTTTCGAGTTTCGGAATAACCCATGTTCCCTCGCGCACAACGCAGCACCTCTGTGGTGAAATGCGGGAGCATTCACCATGAGGTGAACCTTCTTTTCTCTGACTAAGTCAGCGAGGCCGTGGGCCCCCCTGATGCTCATGCGAAGCATTGCCGTCCTGTTCAACACTCTCTTCTGTACCACCTCCTTTCTGCCATGTGTTGAGGAAGGCCAACTTGGCGAGGCGCTGGTAGGAGGTGTTTCGTCGGGGAGCCAACGCACCACTACCCAGCGTAGCTTTCATACGTATCTACCAGAGGTAGTGACCCCCTCCCGCCGACTAACCCAGAGCAAGCGAAAATCGTCTCGGGAATCGCTGTAGCGCTCCGAGCAGATATTATCCGTTGGTTTTGGACAACTGTAGGCGAGCAAGCACGACACGTGTCATCGTCCAAGCACGCCAAGCACTCACTCTCGCACAAAGCGGCACGATTACATGACGATCAGAGCGCGAAGGATACGAAAAATGTTGTTCGCCCGATGTGTCAGTTGTCTGCTATATTATGGAGTCCTAGATCACACGGGTGAAGTGTGCTGCCAGGACACTCCAGGTTCGCAAGCAAGTAGGAGGGGAGATGCAGCGCAGCCACTAAATCTCAAAACGTCACACCGTATCCTGGGGCTAGTGGACATGTAGCTGGTCGACTAAATCTGCTAAATATCCTCAGTGGCGGGGATCTTCTTTGTACGCGCATACGGGACTGTCAATATTGGCGAATGAACGATCGGGTTGTTCAGAGGATGGCGCAATGACGCGGCACAATTAGCACATCACGAGATCACGAGCTTCTCCACTTCTCCCCCACCCCCCACGCGTGTCGTCCACATGCATGAGAAGCAGGAAAGCATGGATGTACTGAATATCAACGTCGGTATCCTGGGCCACGTGGATTCTGGCAAGACTTCGCTTGTCAAAGCCCTCAGCACCGTCTTGTCAACAGCATCCCTGGACAAAAACCCACAGGTTCGCTCCCTTTGCTCCTGTGTGCACGGGAGACAGCAGTATTCACACTGCTGGTTATCTGGCTTTACTGTCGGATGCAACGTGATTGACTCTGAGTTCGGTCATTTACAGCCAGATCGCCGACTGGTGTTTGGGCGTGTTACGACGTTTTTCAACCTTGCCATATGGGGACCGATATCGGCTGGGTCACTCGTATGCATATGCGTGGCTCGGCGGGCGAGTGTACGAGCAGGCTCTTCCCCGAGTCACACCGATCGTGGATGTGCTGGTAGACTGTCATGGTCAGTAGCTATAGCAGGGTAGCCTACTCAGACTATACTCACCGATTACGGCGGCTTCTTGTTGTCAGAGCAGCAGCAGTTTGATGTCCGAGGCAGGGTACATCGAATGAGGTATGCATGTGTACAGATAAAAGCCGCATTCAAGCTCACGTCGGCATGATCCCCGCTTGTTCTGTCTCCGCGTGGCCCGCCTTCCCGGTACACCGTGCGCACGCAGTCGCGAGAAAGGGGTATAACGCTTGACCTTGGCTTCTCTGCCTTCACCGTGTCGTTACCGGAGCATCTCCCGCAGGACCAGTACAGCCACCTACAATTCACGCTGGTGAGTGAGCTCTGCCTCCAGCACCAAAACCGAGCTACAAACGCAAGCATTTTCTGTGGTGGAGTCGAAAAATAGCTTCCAATATGCCTGTTGGACTCTTACTACAAAAGGAGAACTTGATCATTACGTTGACTGCGGTTCACAGCGACCGAATGCCCGCACTAGCATGTCTTATGCCTCCGGCGAGTAGATGATCTTCGTTCAAGTATCCGTCGTGACATAGGGATGGATCAGATGGGCCGCCTGGGTTGAGGCGTGTGGTGCGTACATGCCGTTCTGGCCATCCACTTCAGGCGAGCAACTACCAACCATCGCCCAAAGAAGAGATAACCGCCATGTAAACGTGTAAACCAATGCCACGTGCTTGCTGTTCTCTTCTCGACAGCCTAACTGGGCATGAAGTGTTCGCTCCCCCATCAACCGCAGCCGCTTTCACGCGCACACTTCCCACCCGGCAGGTAGATTGCCCAGGACACGCTTCTCTGATCCGTACAATTATCGGTGGAGCCCAGATAATGGACATGATGTTGTTGGTGGTAGACGCGACGAAAGGAATACAAGCCCAAACCACGGAGTGCGTGGTGATTGGAGAGGCGGTGATGTCAAGCGGTGCGGATGTCATCGTTGTCCTCAACAAGGTCGGTTCGCGCCGCACTTGGTGCAGGGCGCCTTACCCGCTTTCTACTTACCTTTGATCTTCGTTTGATTCTTGGAATGTTCAATACTTTCGGAGTTGACATGTTTTTTAATGGCATGCCCGAAGCCACTAGCGCCGTCGTCGATTCGTCAGTTACCGTTGTCGGCTGTCGCAAGACCACCTTGCTCGTTTTCTGCGGGGTTTACGATGATTTTGGACGCTGTCGTGTGCACAGGTTGATCTCATCCCGGAACAAGAGCGCAAAGCAAGACTTCGTCAAGCTGAAACGGAAATCGCAGCGCAGCTCGCGGGGACCAAGTAAGTCCGTAAAGGATGCAGACAGCGCGCGAGCGAGTGTCTTGTGTGTGGTGAGATCATCACGGTGTGGGTGAGCAATTGGAGGCTCAAGACGTTCCTCCAGCATCTCCGCATCCCTACTGCAACGCCCATTGTTGCGTCGCGCAGCGCTTGCGCATCATTTGTACCTGCCTGGGGGTGACCGCAGCTGTCGATTTGATTCAACGGTGTCATATGACATATCCGTAGCTCAACGGCTGTCCCGCCGTGTTTGTCTTGTCAGGTTATCGAGTGCTTCCTTCGTTTCTTGCGCTGCTGCGGTGGGCGGCGAAAAGACCGCAGCCTCTACTCCGCCCGCCGGTTCCCGAAGCTCCAAGGGCAGGGCCAAGAAGACGGGGGTCCTCTCTGGCAATGTAGGAAGCGCTGCGGGTGCCACCAGCCACGAAAAAGGTTCAAAGGACGTCAGGCCCGGCGGTGGTGATGATGCTGCGGAACCCCTGAGCGGGGTAACGCCCCCCCGCCCCCCCTCGTCATGCTCGGAGGAGACTTCGGCGATGGGAATCGACACAGTGGCCGGGGAGTTGTCGCGGCGAGCAAGAGTGCCTAGTCGGAGAGCCTCTGCCCCTCTCTACTTTGCGTTCGACCATTGCTTTTCTGTCCGTGGGCAAGGGACCATTCTCACAGGCACTGTTCTTACCGGGGAGGTCAAGGTGCGGGTTTTGAGATCATGGCCGTAGGCGTCGGCTCATATGTGAAGCGGCAGAGGTAGGAGACGCATGGTTGGTGCGGTGGGAATTTAGGAGGGAATCTCTTCACCCCTCCTACAAGCCAGTATTGGTTGGGTTGCAATCAGAAATGCCCTGTTACATCTTTGTTTGCGGTCAAAGAATATGAAGCGAATTGTGGAAACCCAACAAAATGTCGCCGCAGGTTAATCAGCTGGTCGAGCTTCCATCGCTTCGGTTGCAGAAGAAGGTCAAGTCGATGCAGATGTTTCGGAAGCCAGTATCCATCGCCAGGTACGATTTTTCTCTGCGGACTAACGCGACTTGCTACATATTTAGTTCGAAATATGTAACGCCTTATCCTTCCGCCTAAATCCACGGAATACTCCTTTCCGCCTACCCATTTGTGTAGGGCTGGTGATCGCGTGGGGATGTGTGTGGCAAGTCTGGACGCAAAGCTCATGGAAAGAGGAGTTGTGACGACTCCGGGTTCTGTGAGACCAATTTCGGCTGCAATCGCTCTCGTCAGAAAGGTTTGTCGGTTCGAAACGTGGCGCTCACATCGATCAACGCTGCAGAGCAGAAATGTCGGGCCATAGAATAGCGCAACAGAAAGAACTAGTGCCTATGGTTCTAGCGGCTATTTTGTGCAGCTTGACAAGAATCGTGTCTGTTTTAACTCATCGATGCAGTGACGTCAACGATTTACTCTCTCCTACCCCCCCCCCCCCCCACGCGCGTCACGTATGCCGGCTGTTTCCTGCACCGAGCCAGGTGCCTGCATTCACCGGACAATGTCTTAGCGGTGCCTACTGCCACGTGTCCTTGGGACACAGTACGGCGATGGCCACGGCCACGTTCTTCGGAGCCAGCGAGCTGAAAAACGGGCTGCTGGGACTGTTCGAACACAGCGCTGACGGCCTTAAGGCTTTGGAAGCGCTTCGTGACGCTGGTCAAGGGCAAGATTTGTCGCTAAATGAGATTGCCTCTCTACCATTCCCATCGGAAGCGGCGTTCGTCCAGCAAACCCACCTCTGCGGCGCAGGCAGTGAAAACTCAATCGCTGGTGCTGACGACGAGGTATGTGTTGATGAACGCCCCCTCCTTCAGTACTGCCATCTCACGTTTCACACGCCGGTCATAACACCGCCAAGCAGCGTTGTACTGGGGAGCAGGCTAGACAGCACGTCGAGCTCTCCCAACAAGACAGAAGCAGCTCACCCGACAGGGGAGACTATTAAGGGCTTGGCGGCGGTCCAAGAGCATTGCCGAATCGCGTTCCACGGACGCTTGGTGTCGATGTCAGCTGATGTCGTCGGGACGCGCAAGGGGCCAGGCGATGCAAGAGCCGCGCTGGATTTCGGGACACAAGCCGGGCAACTGAAGCTGTTCACGGAGAAGCGTAAAACCGGAGTAGTGTTCCGCGTGACACCCAATGATCAGACAGGGGGGGGCGCTGTGGAGGTGTTTGGGAAGGACCTATTCAAGAAGGAGACCAACATGCCGCCGTTCGTGGGCATGCTTTTGCTGACAGAGGTGCGAGTATAACTGAAATGGATAGAGGGGTCCGTGGGTTCAATGATCTACACCATAAAATTGCTAGCGTCATCGGGAGGGAGGGATCACACATTGCAGCGTGCATGTTTCGCCTGCTGCCGGGATGTTTCCACATGAAGACTCGTCCGTCCACATGGTTGCGAGTTTCTTCGGGAGACGTATTCGTTGGTGGATCCTGGCGGGTTGAAAGCCGATTCCAGTTCGGTGTAAACCAGCGTCGAGCTTACCACTTTGTCGATAGCATCGCAAGTACATGTAACAATGTAAAACCTGTTTCTTTGTGCCGCTCCCAACCGGGGACCGCATCTTGAAGGGCGGCAGCGTCGGCCATCTCGAGAGCACATTCGGAAAGGCAGGGAGGTTTAAGGCCCGCTTTCCTGCGGGTACCTTGGTCAAGGTGAGATGACTGGCGGCGCTTGCATCTGCAGAACCAACCCACTCGCACGAAAGTCTACTTAAGAGCGGGGGTCAAAACCTGGTCGTGACGCCATGGTGGGAGTTGAACCTTGCAGTCGTAAGGTCCGCATGCCCAGAGAGTAGCGCACATCGCTGAGCAGATGTTGTGCACAACATTCTCACGCTCCACTAAAAGGCTGAACCTCACGTTAGTTCTAGATTTTGACACAAATGAATAGTAAGAGTAGTCCCAGGCTCGTCTTGAGCCCTCCCCCCCTCTTTCCGCGTGTAAGAGAGGTTGTGAACAGATCGTGCTGGAAATGAACCCTGTAATTTTTTTCTCAGCGCGGTTGCTGTTCGGTCCGAGAACGTTCGCGTTTGTGTTGAACTGATTGTCCGCCTTGAGTGAAGTTGTGCCACGAAACGTATGTTGATTGCTTCCTATTTGCTGCACCTGTTGACGAAATTGATTTTGACAACGCAGGGCCCTGATAGCAGGCAAGCGAACTGTCCGTTATGGAATGTCCACATCTGTCTTAAGCAGAATCGGACGGAAGAACCACAGCAGTGTGTTTACTTCGAGTCCGTCTTTTCGGCCGTTCCACTTGTGTCATTCCACTTGTGTCCACAACGTCGTCTTCGCGCTTTTATCGGTCCGGTTTCGGCGGCCGCAGGTCGGGGACAAGCTCATCCTGAAGTTCCGCAAGTATTTCCGCGACCCTTCAAAGCGCATGCATCAAGGCTACCTGCGAGAGGCTCTCGAACGACATCCCCACCGACCGATTGTAGGGGCGCGCACCGCAGATAACCCGACAGACGATGACAACGACCACGACAACCATGACGAAGGCGCACCAGGATCTGCCGCAGCAACGACCACCGGCGTGGAAGAGCCAGCGGCGCAAGAAACACGCGAAGAATCACCGCCTCCTCCTCATTTGCGCGATGGAGTTGTTGACAGCGTTAAAGAAGGAGTCGCCGACGACGAGCCGGTAGCCATCGCGTTCGTTTCCGGGCTCTTCTCCCAAGAGGAAGACATCCGGGAGATAGCCAAGAGGGGGATGTCCGTGCGCACGGAGACGGGAGGCTTGGTGGGTCGCCTCAAAGGCCCGTTCGGGAAGCTGGGCAAGTGCAAGGTGGTGTTCGAAAGGGAAGAAGGTGGCTATCTTCGACCCGGCGAGCGTGTCTTCGTCCCACGATGACGCCATATACAATTTTCATAAGGAGGAAACGGAAGATGCTCCATTTTGGCCAGGCTTGATTCGGGGGACTTCCCGCGCGCGTCAAGATTGGAGGCCCTGACAGCGCTTTCCGGTCGGGGCAATTGGATCCTTTGCACATGGAGCGTCCAATGAATTAATTCATATTAAGAGCGATCAAATCGCCTCCGGAAAAAGGCCTCACTCGCCACAGAAACTCGGCTGAACCCGACACAAGCCCAAGGAGCAATAGAAGCGGTGCAGCTACGAATATCGGCCAGGCGTCCATGCGCTCAAGCTACAACCCCAACATGCGAAAACATCGACAGCGGGACCAAGACTTGTCCCCTTTGCCATGTCCTAGAATAGGACGCCCTTGGATCGGAAGGACGCCACGAGATCGAGTTGCTAGATCGCCGACTCCTTCCTGAAGAGGACGTTAGATCAGCCTTGCCAGGCTCCAATGATGGACCTCTCGCGTCCAAACCGGCCGCAGTATACCTGCGCCCGATGCCTGCCACTGGGTTCAACGGCGATTGTTGCAGTTGCAGGGCTTCTCACTCCACCTGATGTTTCAACCCCGACCGGTAGTCCTGGAGGCCATCGCGCGACGGGTTCGGGCGGGTGACGCATGGTCGTTGGCCGTCGTATTCCGTATTCAGCCCATTCGATACGATTGCATACGGATTTCTCAACGCGAATGGTTTGAGTAGGCGATAAAACGTTGAAATCGGAAGCCAATTGATTACCCAGGCGTGCAGACACGACCGGTTCTTCGCGAAAGATACAACTCTTTCACTTTTCATGCCCAAACCAAGCGCACTGGACGAATCTAAATTGGTCCAAATATTGTGTCATTTGAACAACAAGGTTTGCCAGGCGCAACACCGGGATGCTGCAGGTCCAGCCGATCGGTCATTGGCTGACGGTTCGCCCATCTTACACATTTGGTTGGGGGGCCTCTTGCGTTTAGAGGAGTTCCCAAAAGATGGGGGAAAATACTTCTTTGTCCACGTCCCTCGCTTTCGCGCTTTCACGATGGCAATCCAACCCGAGGATACCCAGGCGAAGCGTCTCCTCACCTCGACCCAATCCAAGCATTTTTGCAGCACGCGCTGTTCCCCCTTCCGCAGGAGCTCCGCGGCTGCGGACCTGTCCTCCGGCACGATCGTTCTCTCCGCTCCCCCATCTTCTTCCCCTCCTTCCCCCCCCGTGTCGTTGTTGGGGTCAGGAGGCGTGCGGGATGCTTGTGCTTCCCCGGAGACAGGGCCGTTGCAGGACGCGTGGGCCGTGGAGGGGCCCTCTCGCTCTTTCAGCATGCCGGCGAGGGCGTTCCAGAGAACGTCGACTACAGCCGCTTCGTTCTGGTGGGACACGAGCCGGTTCCAATCAGCGCGGGCGAAAACCGAGGATATTGCGCGTGGGAGGATTGAGACAGAGGCGTTGTATGATGTTTGTGTGCTTGGGGGGTTGTCGACACAGGGTTATTGGCCCCTGTTCTGCAGCAGTCCATTTATCGGAGAATTTCGTGCGGATGGTACGCAAGGGGCTGGTCCAGGATTGAGGAATGTACTGTTCATAGGAGGTTGTCAGCTTACCCTCGCGCCTAAGGTCTCGCCCCAAGGGGTTTCTGCCGCGACCTTGAGCTCCGTTTCCGTGGCCCTCTGTACTCGCAGCGCCGGCAGCAAGAGCGGGTCCAAACCTTTACTGGTGAGGAAGAACGGTCGCTTGGAAGGGTCCACCCCGTTGTCCAACATAATCTGCTTTCAGCGGGAGGGGTTTGGGGCAGGGGAGGGGGGAAGCACGCTGCTGCTATCGGTGTTGTCTTGTCGTTCGAGTAACCGGTTCCGTCAACAGCAAGCAAGGACAAGCGCAACGGGGGCGAAAAAAACACGACGACCGCCGGAAGAACATCAAAGACACATGGATACCTGAGAGGTCTTCTTTTGAAAGTCCTTGACCCACTGGGAAGCCTGGCTCACCACAGAGGCCTTCCAGCAGGCAGCACACAACCGAGCATGTCGCTTGCCCGCCTCCTCCATGTCGTGGTGAAACATACTCCGCGTGCTGTGGTGTTTCGTGGGACAGCACCGACCAAACCTCCCCCCCACGTCCGAAAACATCTGGTACTACGGACAACAATCCACGACCGGTGCACGTCTCATTTCCTCGATACCTCCGTTCTTCCATCTACTACGAGGCCAAAGCAGGACACCCTGCTAGCTTAAATTTCGATATTTATTTGACACCTGTAAAACTTGTTCGAAGCGAGTTCGCAGCTGTAGCGAAGCGGCCCCAATTTTTTGGGAAATTTTGCGCTGCCATCTTCCCTACCCGCTCCTACACCGACCTTATTCTTTTCGGCGAAGCCAGGTGCCCCGGGCTCCATCATCGCCCACAGCTCCACCGATTCGAACGGGTTGTCCGGGAGGCAAAACCCGTGCAGCAGTAGCAGGCGGGAGTTCGGGAGCGGGCCGTAGCTGAACTTCACCTCGGAACCGGAGGCCCAATCTTGCAGGGTCACGAGGTGGAGGCAGTCGTTGGACTCTTGATATCCGTGCACCGTCGAGGATAAAGGGCCGTGGTTGAACATGTCGAACACCTGGGCACAGGTTTGGGAGGTTCAACAGACATCAACGCAGACGGTTCTTGGTATGGTAGGGTCAGACACAAAACCTTTTGACACGAGGGAAACAATAGCAACGACGACAGCAACAAACACCATGGTTGAGCGACGGGATTTCCGTTCATGCTTACAACTATAGACGGACTGGAGCGTATATCTGTACGGTTTTCTGCTTGCGGACAGTGCCAAGGGCAATACGTGTGGTCTCTGTCCAAGAAACCCTTACCGGGGCCATGGCCTTCAGCCCGCGCCCCGCCCGCTCGACCGTGACAAAGCGGCTCCACACCTTTTGAGGAGAATCCAGGGAGGTTCCCGAGTGGCAGGTATGGGTGGGGATATGTGCATGTTCGGCACGATGATTAGGACAAGGGTTTTTGGGTATGATCGGTATCGATTTGTGGCACAGGGTGGTGATTCAGAATGCAGAAACATGCTGGAAATACGGCAGATTTCCTGAGAGAGGGGACATCAAATAGGGCACGGAACCGCCTCCGGAAAAGCGTCTTGGAGAAATCCTGCAACCGTGACCAAGGTGCACACAGCGCGCTGCTGTACAAAACACGCTTTGCGTACGAGTGTCTTCAGGTATGCCGTGCCGACGTGGGCCTCGCAGACACGAAAACGCGGCCAACCGGAGCGCGCGACCTTCCACAAGACACATCACTGCACACCTAGCCTCGATCGAACCTTACTGTGTCGACTTATCGTGCAGTACTGGTCACACAGCGGCATGTCTTCTCACGCCCGCACCGTTCGCATCACGCACCGTCCCGAGTGCCCAGAGGTACTCCTCCTTGGTGAGAAAACCTTCGAGCGCGTCTCGCGCCGTAGAGGAGCCGCCCTCTTCCGAACGTGGCGAGGGGAGCGGCAACGCCTCGAGCTCCCGAAAGTCGGTGTCCACCTGGGCTTTCCACTGCACCGTCACCGCGTGCAGGCTCGTGCCGCGCAACAGCTCCAGCTCATCGTCTGTTGGTTGCGGATGGGGTTAGGGTTTGGGATACAATGATGGTGTCGACACTTCAAAAGGATCGATCTATTATCTTAGAAGAGGCTCGAGGTTCTTACTTGCTCTTGGTGTCGAACCAATATTGTTGAAGGTGTCACTGCTGTGCTGGGTGGGTGTCTCGGTCTGGTACCGGAAAATGTATACGAATACTGACTTTGTCGAGCTGCCGAGTTCGCACGTGTTTGCGGCAAGGGCTAAGAGCTAGCGTTAACAAATCAAGCGGGGGGGGGGGTGAGATGAGTGCGGGCTGGGTCCTGGCGTTCGTTAGTGGCCACACTGACGCCCGAACCGGGGTACCCGGGTGGGGGGGGCGAGGGGTCAACCACGTGACAATTCATACTCAGAGGGTTGGCCTCTTTTTCGCTTGCTTCGCGACTGACTAAAAGCATCCTCACCCACAACCGGCTCTCGATCATCTCCAGCTCCGCATACACAAAACAAAGCCAAGCAACACTTGTGTATAATTTTCTAGCCCCTTACACGAGGCACACGAAGTACACTACCCGTACCGGAGTAAAATATGGTCTGGTGGTACTCTCGCGGGAGGACATCCATGTGCCCCTTGAGCGGAGAGCGTTCTTTCAGGATGTGGCGGTGGTAGAGGAGGAGGAGGCAAAGCACGTCGTCTTCCCTTGCACCTGCTTCCATCAGGCCCTCGAACGGCGTGCCCTTGGCGCTGTCCACGGTCATGAGAGCCTGCGCGAGCGTCGCGGACGTGGTGACGGTAGAGAAACGTGGGGAGGGGGGGGTTGGACGGGCAGTTGTCCTTTTACATGGTTTGACGACAAATAGCAGTCATGAGGTTCGTTGTGGATAAGAAGGCAAGAGTCGTTCGTTTGCATGGTCCGCGGTGTGCGAACTTGAAGAATTCCAACCTCTATCGACGCGAATATTGGGGCCACACGGCCAGGCTGACGTGACAGAATCAACGTCGCTGTGTTCCTCCTGTACTCATTTCGTTGCCGGGTGTGTGTGTGCGCGCTCAACGTCGTGTATGCTGCGTAAGATACGTAGCAGGAGGTTTCATATGGTTGGTCAAGGTTCCCCCAGAGCTCAATGAGAATACCTTTTCTTTCTACAGAGTCAGAGTCCCGAAGTGGTGATTAGCCGTTCACCAGCGGAGGTATTTTTCTCTCTTAACATGTGGCGAGGAACAGCCAAGCGTGGCCGAGGATACTCGGACTAGTATAATCAACGAAGGTGGGAGTGATGGAGAGAGAGTCCCTCGTGGGCATCTCCACATCTCCGATATTTACCGGAATGGTCACTGCTGTATTCGGTGAATCTTTCTTGGTAAACACCTTCGGAGCGGTAGGACATTTTTCGTAGTCTCCAGGTCTTTACTGGCTGCATGTGTGTCCCTACCCTAGGGAGATACCTATATCCTGTTTTCCACATCATCAATGATTTTTTTTTTTTTTTGTCTTCACTTCAAATCAGCGCTCACAGCACTAGTGCCGTTTACTCCAACCCGTGGTCACACAGAAGAGCCCCTCTCTACCCTCCCCTCCTGCGGTACTTTGCCTTCGATTTTTAATGCGAGAAGAGTTCAGCACTCTCTTCCCTCTGTGTACACACGAACTAGCGCTATCCACTAGGCCAGGAGCGGAAGCGAGAGAAAAACTCACTTTGCAAGAAAAGCTCGCTTACGCCGGGATTCGAACCCCTGACCTGACCTCTAGAAGGTGTCGAGGTTACCAACTAGACCACCGGGGCGACCTGATTGCTAAAAATCAACACAGTGTGGATGCCACAAATGAGCCGCACCAACTATCGCCGCGCCTCACAAATGTATGCAGGAGAAGCTTGTATCACGTGAACACGTGTGCAACAAGGTATCTCCGGTGCCACCCTTCACAAGGCGCGACATGCTGCAAGCAACACCACCGCAAAGGGTTAAGTCTCTCTCGGGCCTTTAACTCTCTCAGGTTCGCTCCGCGCTCTCACACTGCTGTTTTAATTTCTGAACTGCAAACCGCACTGCAAAACGCACGGAATGCTATTTCCATGCGGTTTGGCTCATCCTCGCAAATAGGCTCGAAAGCAAGCAGATTTCTGCATTTCAAACCCGGCAGCACCGCAATACTGGTACCTGAGTACCACGCCGTACACGCGTACAAGACGGACTTCGGCGGACAAAACAACATAGCAAGGACTGCTGTGTGCATTCACGTGTTCGCATACTGCCTTTGACAACGGACTCCAAATTCCCACCAGTATACAGCATGGAAAAAACAGGAATAGGGCTTGTGTGTTGTTTCCCTCTCCGCTCTCTCCAATGTTGGCCAACCCTCTGTCAACACACTACTCTGTAGAAGTACGTACCTCCTGTGGATGCATCTTTATTTGAAAATTTGAACTGGGCGCAACAATGTTTTGGTTCATGTATTCACCCACCTCCCACGGCACGGACACGACGATTGTCTCCGCTGGGATGTTCTCCTCGCAAAACACACCCCTCTCCTCCTTTCCGGGCGTGGAGGACACTCGCAAGGGGTGGTGGACAACTACCCCGAGCTCCTCCTGTGCCCAGTCAAGGTAACCTTCCGCAGGCGAGTTGCTGCCTTCTGCCATGCTGCCGTCGCTTATTTCGTTCTTGCTGGATACTACAACAGTGTTTCTTGGCGGAGACGGCTGCCGATTCTGGGCAGATGTGCGGGTTGAAGAATACTGTCACCGTCGCAGCAGCAGCCGACGAATTGATCCAGCGGCTGAGAGAGGCAACGCAGCAGCAGTGGGTGGACAGTGGAGGAGGAGCGCGAAGGAGCGGCGGAATGTGAAATGCGGGGAGTTCCGCTGAAGGGGGGATAACTTCGTCCGCGGGGCCCCACAGGTTCGCAACAGTGCAGCCGTGCGTGCGCGCTGCTTGCTGTGCCACCAGCACATGTCTGGTGTGTCTCGGTAGACCTAGCGTACGCCATGAGCGTGCCAGGGCCTTCTCTAGGCGCGGGGGAGGAGGTAGTCATGACCGCCCACGCCGTGCACAAGAAAACGCCGGGAACGGTATGGTTCACGAGTCGGAGGGCCTTGTGGAAAGCCGCCGATGGCAAGGCTGCTGTGCAGCGAGTCGAGGTTGCGTGGGCAGCAGTTAAGAGCTTCCAGGTGAGTGGTTTGGTGTGTGCTGTCTAGTTTTAGAACCTGATTTGCTCGTGTGTTTGTGTTTTCATTTTGAGGTTAGGAAGGTGGCGCGCGTTTTCTCCCCGCTTGGAACAAATCCGCGAAGAAGCTTCCTTGAATCCTAAGAAGTTCTGCTGCGTTCCTGTGTGCTGAGCGGCGGCGGTGTGACTACTATTACCGTAGTGTGAACTCTAATCTTGAAGTAAACGCAGTACAGTATGCATAGTAACCCATCAATGATAAGGGATGGAGAGCAAACCAAAGACACGAAGAACAACGAAAATCAATATAATAGTCATGCTTGGCGCGGATCATCGCGACTTGGCGGCGACCCTAGCTTGCTTCTACCGTTCGTTCCAACCCCTCTGTCATACACCATGCATTGCTGCATAAAGCTACGAGTCCGTGTTTGTTATGTGGTACACTAGGCTTGGGAGTGCGAACATCGCCCGCCCACGCATTAACCTCCGGCGTGCGCTCCACACCAATTTGCTCTGAGTTAGAGTAGTTCCCTCCCCATCTCCGTGCGCAGGAGCAATGCTACCGGTGCGCCCCTGCCCCTAGGTGTAGCGCAATCCCTCAAAGAACGCGACCGATAGCGCCGTGAAACGTTGCGTTGCCAGCCTGCACCCATGCACTCGTTGAAAAGTGGTTGCTAATCGTGCAGAGCGACAGGACGAGAGCGAGCGAGCCTGCAAGAGCAGCGTTAACGTTTGCACCTTTCAAACACACGAGTCCCCCCCATGGTATGCATAGCCCGGCCAAAACCACCTTCATAGTCGGGACGAGGGCGAGATATGCCGTAGGTTGCGCGGCTGTATCAGGCGCGCTACGCTCCCGCCCTGACAGTGCGCCCCCCTGCCTCTCCGGCACTTGACCAGTCGTGATGCCTCACCAGAATACTGCACAACAGTCAACCGCATTTGTGACTCTCTTTCTCTCTCTTCGTGTCTCTCCCTCTCGGTCTGTCTGTCTCCCTCCCTCCCTCTCTCTCTCGATCGGTCTCCCTTTCTCTCTTTCTCTTTCTCTTTCTCTCTCTCTTTCTCTACTTCTCTTTCTGTCTGTCTGTCTGTCTGTCTGTCTGTCTGTCTGTCTGTCTGTTTTGTCTGCCTGTCTGTCTGCCCGTGTGTCTATGTCTGTCTCTCTGTGTGTGTTTGTCTCTCTCCTTCTTCTTCCTCAAGTGCTCCCCGGCAAGCGAGGCCAGAGCCATGATGCGCCTCCTTCGAGTCACCGAGGGCCAACCCCCCATCATTTTCCGGTTCACGGAAACACCCGGTGGTACCCCCAGGGAGGTGCTAGAGAGGGCGCAGGCGGCAGTCCGAAAGGCTCTCAAAGGGGACGCGGGGGCGGGCAGAAGCAAGACAGGGGTTGCTGAAGGCGGTACCAATGGGACCGGGAAGGGAAAGGCTGGCAAATATGGCGGGTGGGTTTCGGAGCCGCGGTTGACCCCGGGGGGTAGACGTTTTAGACGATGGTGTTGTGCTGCCGTAGTATCGAGAGGTGGATGGGGGCGGGCGTTTCGAGTAGCAGCGGCTTTCGCCCTGCCTTGGTCTTGCATGGTGATGTGTTATGAAGATTGTGCCAACAGTTTTCATCTGACTGTGACTGCTGTACCTGGCCGACTGACGTGCGCGGAACTGCTATCTGCATAAGGTTCTACTGCACCACTCCTTGCGGTATATTGTGGTATCTCCTGTCCGACCTGTTGGTGTTCCGTGCAGTCTGCTGAAAACCGTTGTGGTTCTGGCTTCGTTCCCATCCGACCCCGCGGCACCATTCGCATATGCCACGTTCCGTACCGTGTATCTTGGGGCCCCGTTTATCTGTGCCTGTTGGTTCAAGCATCAAACGCGGAGACTTTTTTTTTTTCGTTTTTGGAAGGACATGATGATCCATGTCACTCGCTCATTCGTGCGCCCTTCGCGTTGTTGGCCTCCCAGCAGCAGCTCCAAGGACGCGCTGAAGAAGATGAAGTGGAAGACAAGGGGTGGGCTGCTGGGCACGGCCTCGGGAGGGCAGTCCCTTCGCCACAGGTGAGCGACGACAGCTTCAGTACATCCTTGGTTGCGGCGGTGGTTAAAAGATAAATACGCACATTTCAGTGCAACACGTCGACGGGCGTAGCGAGTGTACTCGGGAGCGGGGGGAGGGGGGGGCATATTGTGTAGTTGTGCTCCGCTGAGTGGAGGCGTGGTTCCACCCCTGGTTCTCAGACTGCTGTTGGGCATTGGAGGTGGAGGAAGAAATATGGTAACGCCGGAAACGGCGACTTTGGTGGGTAGAGTAGGGTTAACCCTTTGTCGACAGATCAGGCGCGGAAAAAACAACCCAAGCAAGTACAGTATAGGTGTAGGAGGACGGTAGTGAGTCGCACAATCAAGCAGGCCAAGTTTGTCTTGGCTCCCATCGCCCGGTGGTTGATGTAAAAGAAGACGCTGGCTGAAGCCATCTCCATTTCACGTACTGCTATTGCTTCCACCGCCGCCGCCGCCGCCGCTGCTGCTGCTGTTTGCTTGGTGTTAATGTTCCTTGTCGGAAACGGCGGTGCGTGCCCGGCAACGGCGGCGCAGGGACAGCATGCCGGGCGGTCGAATGCGCAACGTCCACGACGCCCGTCAGCGCGCGGCCCTGCTTGCGGGGGACGAGGTCCTCACGGCACAGTACCGGGAGATGGTCGACGGAGCCGTTGTGACCGAAGAGGTAATAGTGCTCGACGATGGTGCTCGATAGTGTCCGACGAAAATTTTTAGCAATCATTGTCAATGTAGCTCGATAGTGCTCGACAAGAGATTTTAGCGTCGAATGTTTAGTATTTCCCACATGCGCACGCACTACCTACCTGTTTTGTTTTGTTCTGCTTTGGCGTTTCAGCCGCAGTTGAGCCGCACGGGCTTCCAAGAGGCGGGCCAGTCTAGCTCGAGGCTTGACGAGATAAGACAAGATTGAATATGAACCATACCGTACCGCAGAGGTTGTCTTGTGCAATGTGTAGTTAGCGGTCGCACTCAACAGCCTCTAGTTTCGGCCGATTTCGACGCATGTTGTTGCTCTCTCCCTTTTTCAAAGCCGCTTTCCTCTGATTGCTATTCCTACCACGACTTTTGACCGTGTGTGATGCGCCGTTCGTTCATTGCGGCCCCTCCCTCGTTTCGCGGCTGGGGGCGGGGGGCGGGGGGCGGGGATCGACAGGAGTTCTGGGAGTCACGGAGGCGCACTCTAGCGGAAGAAGACGCAAAGACCGCGTCGAGACACACGGGGACCCCGAGCGAGATGCCTAGCGACCTGGTGGCCGAGACCACCTCCACTGGGACCCTGAAGTTCAAGCTCAACGCGCGCACCATACACAGCATCTTTACGATGTACCCCATCGTCTTCAAGTGAGGCCTTGGGGATGGGGGATGGGGGGGGCGGGGGCAGTATGACGGAGCCGGCATGCACGAAAATGCTAGTGCTTTGGACGCGACGACCGATTTGTACGCGAGAATTAAACCTTGATTGCGCACCCCTTACCTCCCCCCCGCCTTCTGACTAACAACCTTTCAATTTCGCGCGCAACATGGCGTGGTGATGCCTGTGCCCTCCCTCCTCGCACGAAAATGCGGCAACGGAACAACAGAGCCTACCAGGCTAACGTACCGACGGAGATGTCAGAAAAAGAGTTCTGGACCAAATACATCCAGAGCGCCTATTTCAACAGAGATCGAGGCGGCGGCGATGGCGGCGGAAATAACAACAACAGCAGCTCCGCCATCAGCGGCAACAAGAGAAAGTCCTTGGAGGCCGGCGGGGGGGACGGCGGACAGGACGACATGTTCCTCCGCTTCGCCGCGCAAGAGGCGGAGAGGGAGAAGAGGGAGAAGGCGGGGGAGGAGGGAGGGGCGGGCGGCGGCAAGCGCCGGAAGCATTCGGGGCCCGCGGCGGGGGGGGCTGGCGGAGGCAGGCTCGAGAGCGGAAGCGTGGACCCTATGGTGGATCTGACTTCGCAGTGGGGGGATCACCACGCCCGAGAGGTGTGTGTGTGTGTGTTGTTTCTGTTAGCATCGACGGCGCTATTTAGCTGGCTGACCAATGAAAATACGTCATTCTTTAAGCGGGATAAAATGCGTGTTTGTGTTTTTGTTCTTTTGTTTGTTTGTAACAGTAGTCGACCGCGGTATAACCGGCTGACCAATGGGATTGACGCTGCTCTTAGAAAGCGGGATACTGTGTGACAGACGCGAACACGTGCGTTCATGTGGTGCTTCTATTAGAGTCCACCGCGGGAATCCACCCACCGATGAAAATTCGTTAGTCTTACGGTCGGACTTTGAAAACTCGAACGCGCTTTCTAGTCAGCGCCCTCCCCCCTGGCAAATGGGGTGGGAGGAGGTTGGACGACACGGTCCATTCTGTGGGTTAACAGCGGTTCTTTGCAAGAGGAGACCTGCGGTATCTATTCCCGCGCGTGGGTGCGCGTGGGTGTTTTTGAAATGCCATAGACCGCACTTTCCGGCCGACCCATGAAGAAATCAGTGAGTTTGTGTTGTGTGTTGGCAGGGTTGGGTTGATTTTGTGTGTCATTCCTGCTTGATTCACGGGGCGGCTGTTGTTATTGGTGGTGGTGGTGGTCTTGTCACTGCCGGTTCCGTTGACTTTGTCTTTGCTGTTATTGTCGTTGGTGCTGTTACTGCTGCTGCTGTCGCTACCGCCTCTCTGATTATGTTTATCCGTGTGCCTGTCGTCGACCTACGCGGTTCCCGCGTCTGAACTGCTGTACTTCCCGATCTATCTATCTATCTATCTACTATTTGGTTTGTGGATGGTCTCCTTGACTGTGCCGCGCTCACGATCGCGCTGTGCTCTGCTCTGCTGTGCTCTGCTGTGCTCTACTCTGCTCTGCTATGCTGGCATATTGGCTCTCGACAGGTGGACGATAGCGACCCTACGGAAGAACTGTCGGAGGCTGCCAACAAGCGCAAGGAAGTCGTGGGGAAATTCAATCGACACGCCAGGTGATGATGCCCCCCTCTCCCTCCTTTTTTATTTATTTTGTCCGTGGGGACCCGATAGAGACCAATGCAATAAAGCATGACGGTAAGGTTGAATGGCGTCACGGACGCTTGAATGCTGGGTCATTGTGTTCCTGAATCATGTGTTTTGACTCTCGATACGGATAATTTGATTTGTCACGCAGGGATGTCCTCATGACGAGGCATATCTCTCTGGGGCCAATCAATGATATGAGTTGGATTTTGTGGAGTCTCGCTTGGTCGGTCGGTCATCATTCCTTTTGTGTACTTCGCGGCCCACGGGTAATTCTGTTGGTTGTGTAACGGAAAGAGGACTAAACAGGTTCATGGTACATGAAGCACATGGCTTGGTCCACTGGCCTGTTTGACTTGTCCACATTCCATCGTTCGGGTTAAGCCATCACACCACTGCGTCAAGCTCCCCATGACCGAGCGAGTAGACTCACTATGAATAGATGGATTAATTGTACGCCTTAGCTCGGGGTCGTGAGCTTGGTGTGATCATTTACGAACGAAAGCCGTTTTTTTTTCTTTCCTCCCTGCATTGTCCTTGCCTTCCTGCGGTTCGCTAGCTCACCATTCGCGTACCCCCCCCCATACCTCTCCCTTAACACGTTGCTGCATGCTAACCCACCGTCCCATCTCTACGAACAATCGAACGCCGCCGCTCAGACTGGTGATGCAACCACCTGACGGAGGAGGAGGGGGCGGGGCGGCGGGGAGGCGGCCGGCGCTTGTGGACAGCGCCGCGTCAGCGACCGATATGCCCGAGCTCAGGTTGCGCGAGGAGGTCGCTCAAGAAAAGGTAGGTACCATAGGTGGTGGATGTCTGGGTGAATATGCTTGTGAAATAGAAGGCAAAACAAGTGTACACTGCCCAAAATACGTGAAAATGGAGAAACGAAAATCCTTTTGTCGGTTTTCCGGCCGGACCTACGAATCTGAGTTTGTTTTGATGAGTCCTTTCAGGCTTACAACATGAGGCAATGAAGGCATGTATGCCAACAACAACAAGAACAACGTAGAAGTTGACCTTTGGCGCCTCTACCGCGCGCCCGATCCCCGTAGCTCGACATCGCTCACAAGAACCGCTACCGCGGAGGTGGAGGAACCAACAGGGCCGACAGCAACGGCGGCGCTGCCTCCAACGGCGGATCCAGCGGGGCATTAAGTGTCGGTTCACTGTCGCGCCCCCAGTCTCCGCGAGGGATGGTGGTCGAGACGGTCACGCTGGCGGAGGCTAAGGCGCAGCTGGGCCCCGGGTTTTCCATCCTGGGCGAGAGGCCTCGGGTGTCGGGGGCGGTGGCGTCGCCGGGCCAGGCCATGTCCGCGCTGAAGGAGTGCACGAGGGAGGCCAGCAGGGGCGTCGGGGACGCCTTCCACCTGCAGGGGTGAGTTTTCGTTGAGGATTGAATTTGTATTAACATACTATGGGATTGAAGTTGTACTAACAATACTATGGGATTGAATTTGTGTTAACGATACTATGGGATTGAAGTTGTACTAACAATACTAT